ATTTTAAACACTCGGATGTAAAAGTCAGTTTTTTAAAGAAATTTTCAACCATCTAAGTACCCAAAACTCATAACTTATACCATTAATCCATTGTGAGCCTTGAACCAAGTCCAATAGACCAAAATACACTTGAGTGACCAATCAAACACACAAAAATAATCAAACACAAAATTTGGCCACTCAATGGCCATTTTGCCTAATATGGCCAAAATGCACAATTAGCACTACAAGCACTATTTGGCCTCTATTGCCACATAATACATTACCAATACATTATCACCACTTAGATAAAACATTCCTTGCACTTGTATTAGTATTTTAACCCATCACCATAAAAATTCCCACATATTCACATCACATACCATATTAGGCTAAAATACAAAACAACATAGTATGAAACAAGTGCAACCAATCAAAATGATATGCATTCTTAGTTGGCAACATATAATATTATAACAAGTTTATGTACACTACTCAAACCAAAATCGGGCGTTACTATTCGATGTAGCAAATCTACAAATCCTTGCCTGATTCCTTCCCACGCTCAATCTCAACTGTAGAACCTGTAAAAATGATAATCCATGGGGTGAGATAAAAATCTCAATAGCTAAGATAATCTACATTATTGATTAACAAGCTAAGTTATAAACAAGCATTAAAATAAGTGACATAATCACATTATATAATATCACCATAAATTTACATGCATGATCCCTAACCATCCGGTCCTCCAATACTCCCGACCAAACCAGTAGGCTATTTCACAGAACTGAATCACATGTATTGTCCCCAAGCTCACCATCTATGGTAGGACTACCCGGCCAAGGTATGCTAAACCACTTCCGGACTACTGTTTCCCCCTATTACAAGTAATTGGGGTGTCGTTACTCCAACACTACATCCTACGGATGCTAAGTAGTATAGTCTCCAACTCCGCACCCTTTTGGGTACTAAGGAGGGTAAGTCTCCAATACCGCACCCATTTTCGGGCACTAAGGAGAGTAAATGCTACACTTGGTGTCCCGAGGTGCTAGCAATGCCATATGGACTTAAATCTTCACTATCTCCACTAGGGTGACCTCCCACCCTCTAATATGCCACATTTCACTACATATCTCTACTTGACCATGCATAATCAACTTTTCAAACAAGCATAGCAAAATATTTCCATTTACTTCAAAAATATAGAATTTTACAAACCAATACTCCACTTTTTCTAAAAATAGTTAACCTTTAAAGAATTTATGCATATATACTCAACAACTCATAGAAAAGCAACTTGAGAATAACTTATACAAGGTAATAAACAATGCAAATTATCTAGTTACCTCAATCCTTTTGTTACTAAAAGGGTTACTCGTGGTATTAAATTTCTTCTTGTGTCAAGGTAAGTCTTCCCACACCACAATCTACATCAACAAGTATTATATGTTAATTTTCAATTAACACAAGTACCATTAGCTAATAATAAGTTCCCAATTCTCCCACTTCTCACTCAAATTCTCAACAAATACACTTGTCAAGATTAGAATTTGTTCACTTCATTCCTTCAAGTCACTTTCTAATTCTATCATAACATAAAACTCAATATCTCAACTTATCACACTTCAACACCCTATGATCAAGATAAAGCTTGATCCCACTCCTACTAAACAACAAAGTAGCTTCATATTACTACATATCCAAGATCAATAAACCTAAATTAAACCTTTATAGTCAATAGAAACCTTCAAAACATTGACTCATGGCTTAATGCTATCAGACCAAATTCTCACTCTTTCAAATCCCATAGAAAATGATATGAAAAGATAGAGGAGAAGGGTAGGAAACTTACCCAAGAGTTTGAAGGCTCAAATGATCTTCAAAATCCTTTCAAATTGATGCCCTAGCAATGCCTAAAGTTTCCCCCTTCGTGCTCTAGGTTTTCCACCCCAAAATCTGATTTTTTCTGTTGATTCCCGAAAATTTAAGTTGCCTGCTGTGCATGCCACATAAGCCGCGACTCATGGCGCAGCGAGCAACAACTTGATTTTGCTCCCCCTAATGCTTTTCGACTTGATCCGACTTTCATCCTATCTCAATTTAGAGCCAAATATGACCTAAAAATCCAATTAGCCACCCAAAAACATAATTAAATAAATTAATCATATTTTTTAACTAATTTATCCCTTAATTAATCCATTTTTCCAGATTTAAAGTTTTAGGATGTTACAGTTCTCCCTTCCTTTAAAGGAATTTTTCCCCCAAAATTCAAGAACAACCACAACACACACATAGGGAAACAGATAAGGATATTGTTGCTTCATTTTGTCCTCTGTCTCCCAGGTAGCATTACTAGGAGCCATTCCTTTCCACACCACCTTAACCAGTCGAATAGTCTTGTTCCGTAATTGCTTATCTTTAATATCCACTATTTGTTCTGGCTCTGCTCGATATGTCATATTCTCTTGCAGCTCTACCTCTTCGGGTTCAATCACATGAGATGGATCAGGTTGATATTTCTTTAGTTGAGAAACATGAAAAATATCATGAATCCTAGATAATTGTGGTGGCAAGGTGATTTGGTAGGCAACTGGCCTAACTTTCCTGAGAATCTCAAATGGACCTATGAATCGAGGAGATAATTTTTTTACTCTGATTGACCTCCTGATTCCTGTCACAGGTGAAACTCTTAGAAAAACATGGTCACCAACCGTAAACTCCAACGGCCTTCACTGTTTATCCGCATAACTCTTTTGCCTACTCTGAGCCGTTAGAAGTTTTTGCCTTATCATTGGAATCTTTTGCGTCGTTTAGTCTACAATATCAGGACCCATAATGCCTCTCTCACTCAATTCAACCCAACAAAGAGGAGATTGACATTTTCTTCCATATAATGCCTCATAGGGAGCCATCCCTATACTGGAGTGGAAATTATTATTATAGGCAAACTCAGCCAAAGGAAGATGGCTATCCCAATTTCCTCTTAGTTCTAAGGCACAAGCTCTCAACATGTCTTCTAGAGTCTATATAGTCCTTTCTATCTGTCCATCAGTCTGTGGATGATACGCTATGCTGAATCTTAATTCAATACCCATTACTCTCTGTAACGCTTTCCAAAAGTTCAAAGTGAACCTCGGGTCATGATCATAGACAATGTCCTTTGGCACCCCATGCAATCTCACAACTTCTCGAATGTAGATCTCTACTAACTTCTCTAATGAATCACTTATTCATACTGCCAAGAAATGGGCTGACTTTGTCAACCTATCTACAATCACCCAGATAGAATCATGACTGGATTGGGTTCTTGGTAATCCTGAAATGAAATCTATAGATATACTATCCCACTTCCACTTCGGTATCTCTAGTAGTTGTAAAGTTCTTGCTGGTCTCTGATGCTTAATTTTAACCTTTTGATAAATTAAACACTGAGACACAAAATCTGTGACATCTCTTTTCATTCCAGGCCACCACCAATACCGCTTCATATCCTGGTATATATTAGTTTCTCTAGGGTGAATTGTATATCTATTCTTTTGTGCCTCATTCAGAATTTTCTTTCTCAAATCACCCTCATCTGGTACACAAACCCGATCTCAATATACAATATATCTATCATCACTGAAACCAAAGTTTGTGGTTCACCTTTCCTTCACATCTTCTTAAATTTTCAATAGATACTCATCCTTAAGCTGTGCTGTCCTTAACTCTCTCCAAAACTCATTGGTAATCTCTATGGAATGTAGGCCACACAAAGTGAATTCTGGTGAGTCATGCTGAATATCCAAGTAGGATTCTAGCAATTTGTGCTCTTGCACTATTAAATAAGCGACATGCAATGACTTTCGACTTAAGGCATCTGCAACCACATTTGCTTTCCTCGGATGGTATTTAATTTTGAAGCTATAGTCCTTTAAGAACTCTATCTACCTTCTCTGCCTCATATTAAGTTCCTTCTGATCCATTAAATATTTCAGGCTCTTATGGTCACTGAAAATACTAAACACTGCTCCATACAAATAATGCCGCCAAATCTTTAGTGCAAACACAACTGCAGCAAGCTCTAAGTCATGAGTGGGGTAATTTTTTTCATGTAGCCTGAGCTGTCTAAAGGCGTAAGCCACTACTCGCTCATCTTGCATCAACACACATCCCAAACCTTTTAGAGATGCATCTATATATACTTCATATGGCAATTATGGATTAGGAATAATCAACACCGGTACCGTAGTCAGTTTCTCCTTTAACTTTTGAAATGCGATCTCGCACTTGTCATCCCAAATGAACGGCTGATCTTTTCGAGTCAACTTAGTCAATGATGAAGCTATCTAAGAGAAACCTTGGATAAATCTATGATAATATCTAGCCAATCCTAGAAAACTCTGTATTTCAGTCACAGAACTAGGTCTTTCCCATTTCAACATCGCATCCACTTTATATAGATCCACCGTAATCCCTTCTGCCGACACAACATGTCTTAGAAATCGAACCTCTCATAGCCAGAACTCACACTTGCTAAGCTTGGCATAGAGCTTGTTGTCCTTCAAAATTTGTAGCACAATTCTCAAATGCTTTGCATGCCGCTCCTCGTTTTCAGAATATATCAGAATGTCATCAATAAATACCACAACAAACTGATCTAGGTAAGGCCTAAATATACGGTTCATGTAGTCCATGAAAACTACATGAGTATTTGTTAACCCAAATGGCATGACTAGGAACTCATAATGCCCATATCTGGTACGGAAAGCCGTCTTGGGTACATCCTCCAAGCGCACTCTCAATTGATGGTATCCTGACCTTAGGTCAATTTTTGAGAAAACCAAAGCTCCCACCAATTGATCTAACAAATCATCAATCCTTGGTAAAGGATATTTGTTCTTCACCATCACCTTATTCAACTGTCTATAATCAATACAAAGCTGTAAGCTACCATCCTTCTTCTTAACAAATAGCACAGGTTGTCCCCAAGATGACACACTAGGTCTAATAAATTCTTTTTCAAGTAGCTCCTTTATTTACTTCTTCAACTCAGCTAACTCCATTAGTGACATCTGATATGGTGCTTTTGAGATTGGTTCAGTTCTTGGCACTAGGTCTATGGTGAACTCCACTTCCCTTTCTGGAGGTAAACCGGACATTTCAGTCGTAAATACCTCAGGGAATTCATTCACTACCCCAATCTTATCAATACTTCTATCGTAGACCCCATGCACTGAGAAGAAAACTATATAAGCCATACACCCTTGTTGCATCAATTTCTCTGCTTGTACCACTAATAAAAGCTTAGACTCGCTAGGAATATTAACCAGTGTAGTATGTACAGGTAACAAAACTATCTTCCTAGCACAGTTCAAGGTGGCATTATTTGCCATCAACTGATTCATACCGATAATCACGTCCAAACCTTTTATAGGAATCTGGATTAAATCTAGAGTGGTCGAATGATTTTCAAACTTTACTTCTATATTCAAACATGCCTTATTGGTCATATCAAACGACCTAGATGGCGTAGACAATTTAATCACATAAGGCAATTCATGTAAAGGAAGTCCCAAACTCTCTACACATTCATATGAAATAAATGAATGTGTAGCACCAGAATCAAATAATGCTTCAATTTGTTGCTTGCAGATAGAAATAATACCTTTTATCAAATTCAATGACACTCTTGCCTCCTTCTGAGATAGTGTGTAGACTCGTCCTAGAATGGTAAATCTCTGCTCTACCATCTCCACTATTCCCTTGGGGCATTATCTTGCTAGATGGCCAGGTTTCTCACATTTAAAACATGCCCAACACCTCCCAGGATGTGACCACCCACACTTAGCACATGGTGGTGGTCGAGCTGTACTTAAAGTTGGGGCAGGCATATTAGAAGCCTGTCGGGATGGTTATGGAACACCAGAACTGCTAAAACCACCCCTCTGAAATGTTCCTCGAGTCTGTGATCTTCTAACAAAACTTTTCTTGCCCGGTGCTATAGAACTACTCGAGCCATATCTTGTCTTCTTAGAGACTCCACCCAAAGGGCCTAGGGAGGACGAGAACCTCCCATGACTATCTCATCTCTTTTTTACTTCTACTTCTCGACCCCTTCTTGCCGTAATTCGGAGCTGATTACACATGTCAGTGTATGTGGTTACTCCTAGCAGAGTAATCAGCTGTCTATATTCAAGCCTCATCTTTTCCAAAAGCCTCTTGGCCTTCCACTCGCTATCATTGGTCTCTTTAGATAAGTAAAAAAATTTGACAACTGATTAAACTTCTGAATGAATGCTTCCTCATCAAGGTCTCCCTACCGAAATACATGAAAATCGGCCTCCTTCTCATCTTTAAATGCTGGAGGAAAATGATGATCAAAGAACATTTCTTTAAATTCTTCCTATGTTAGCTGACGTCCATCCACTGGTCTTGTAGAATTCCACCAGTGTTTAGCATCTTGAACAAGATATACTGTGTCTATAATCACCTTTTGTTCTATAGAGCACATTACCACCTCAAAGATGGTTTCAACTCTCTCTATCCATTTCTCCGCTTCTCCTTCCTTTATAGTTCCATTAAAGGTTGGAGGGTTAAACTGAGAGAAAGTTCTCCATGCTCAATCAATAGCCATCCCTTGAACATCTCCATCTGCCCTCGTCCCAGACGATCCAGGTCTACTACCAGAACCATGAGATGGTTCCAATTTGCTCTCATGAGCTTCCTCTTGCCTCCTTTGTTCCTCCTCATGACCTCTATTTCAGAGCAGAACAGTGTGGTCTTGAACAGTCTTCTGGATATCCCTCATCATATCCCGCAATTCTTCAAGAATTGCATCATTACCCTGGGGCCTTTGTTGCTGTTCCACTTGTATCTCCGGCTGTACCTCCGGTATAGGCCCATCATTCTCTGGTAAATTACCAGCATTTTGAATACTTCTCCTAACTATTTTCTCCCCTCCTAAGGAAGAAACCAAGTAGAAAAGGGAAATTAATGGGAAGGAAAGGAAGTGAGACAAAGGGAAAGAGTTGTGTACATAAAGTTACCAACTAATAAGAATGAATGCAATATACACATCACCACAACCAGATCTCAGAACCTGAGAAACTGCTACTAAAATATGATTAATTAAGGGATAAATTAGTTAAAAAATATGATTAATTTATTTAATTATGTTTTTGGGTGGCTAATTAGATTTTTGGGTCATATTTGGCTCTAAATTGAGATAGGATGAAAGTCGGATCAAGTCGGGAAGCATCAGGAGGAGCAAAATCAAGTTGTTGCTCACTACGCCATGAGCCGCGGCTTGCGTGGCATGCGCTGCAGTGCATGGCACAGTAGGCAACTTAAATTTTCAGGAATCAGTAGAAAAAATTAGATTTTAGGGTGGAAAACCTAGAGCACGAAGGGGACAACTTTGGGCACTACTAGGGCATCAATTTGGAAGGATTTTAAAGATTATTTGAGCCTTCAAACTCTTGGGTAAGTTTTCTATCCTTCTCCTCTACCTTTTCATCTCATTTTTCATGGGATTTGGAAGAGTGAGAATTTGGTCTGATAGGATTAAGCCATGAGTCAATGTTTTAAAGGTTTCTGTTGACTTTAAAGGTTTAATTTAAGTTTATTGATCTTGGATATGTGATAATATGAAGCTACTTTGTTGTTTAGTGGGAGTAGGATCAAGCTTTATCTTGATCATAGGGTGTTGAAGTGTGATAAGTTGATATATTGAGTTTTATATTGTGATAGAATTAGAAAGTGACTTGAAGGGATGAAGTGAACAAATTCTAATCTTGACAAGTCTATTTGTTGAGAATTTGAGTGAGAAGTGGGAGAATTAGGAGCTTATTATTAGCTAATGGTGCTTGTGTTAATTGAAAATTAACATATAGTACTTGTTGATGTAGATTGTGGTGTGGGAAGACTTACCTTGACACAAGAAGAAATTTAATACCACGAGTAACCCTTTTAGTAACAAAAGGATTAAGGTAACTAGATAATTTGCATTGTTTATTACCTTGTATAAGTTATTCTCAAGTTGCTTTTCTATGAGTTGTTGAGTATATATGCATAAATTCTTTAAAGGTTAAATATTTTTAGAAAAAGTGGAGTATTAGTTTGTAAAATTCTATATTTTTGAAGTAAATGGAAATATTTTGTTATACTTGTTTGAAAAGTTGATTATGCATGGTCAAGTGGAGATATGTAGTGAAATGTGGCATATTAGACGGTGGGAGGTCACCCTAGTGGAGATAGTGAAGATTTAAGTCCATATGGCATTGCTAGCACCTCGGGACACCAGGTGTAGCATTTACTCTCCTTAGTGCCCGAAAATGGGTGCGGTGTTGGAGACTTACTCTCCTTAGTACCCAAAAGGGTGCAGAGTTAGAGACTATGCTCCTTAGCATCCGTAAGATGCAGTGTTGGAGTAACGACACCCCAATTACTTGTAATAGGGGGAAACAGTAGTTTGGAAGTGGTTTAGGATACCTTGGCCGAGTAGTCCTACCATGGATGGTGAGCTTGGGGACCAGAAATGTGGTTTGGTTCTGTGAAATAGCCTATTGGTTTGGTCGGGAGTATTGGAGGACCAGATGGTTAGAGATCATGCATGCAAATTTGTGGTGATATTATATAATGTGATTATGTCACTTATTTTAATGCTTGTTTATAACTTAGCTTGTTAATTAATAATGTAGATTATCTTAATTACTGAGATTTTTATCTCACCCCATGGATTATCATTTTCACAGGTTCTACAGCTGAGATTGAGCGTGGGAAGGAATTGGGCAAGGATTTGTAGATTTGCTACATCGAATAGTAATGCCCAATTTTAGTTTGAGTAATGTACATAAACTTGTTATGATATTATATGTTGCCAACTAAGAATGCTATTTTGATTGGTTGCACTTATTTCATACTATGTTATTTTGTATTTTAGCCAATATAGTATGTGATGTGAATATGTGGGAATTTTTGTGGTGATGGGCTAAAATACTAATACAAGTACAAGGAATGTTTTATCTAAGTGGTGATAATGTATTGGTAATGTATTATGTGGCAATAGAGGCCAAATAGTGCTTGTAGTGCTAATTGTGCATTTTAGTCATATTAGGCAAAATGGCCATTGAGTGGCCAAATTTTTTGTTTGGTATGTTTTTGTATGTTTGATTGGTCACTCAAGTGTATTTTAGTCTATTGGACTTGGTTCAAGCCTCACAATGGGTTAATGGTATAAGTTATGAGTTTTGGGTACTTTGATGGTTGAAATTTTTTTTGAAAAACTGACTTTTGCATCTAAGTGTCTAAAATTCTCATACGGTGTCAGATCGTAACAAAACTTGTACCATTAGTTAGCTTATTGAATAAGCTTCATGTGGGCACTTGAATCACTCTAATCAGACATTGGATGTAAAAATGGCGGGCGTTCGAAATTCGCCCAAAAAAGCTGTCATGACAGCATTGCTGTCAGGGATAGGTACGCCGTGGCGCATTTTGCGCAAGCCGCAGTACACGGTACAGCAAGAAAACATGGCATTCTATGCCACAAGCCGTGGCGCACAGACCACGAGCCACAGTGCATGTACCAAAACACTTAAAAATAACATTTTTGACCTTGTTTTGAAGTGGTTTGCTTCCCAAAACTTTTCCATGCTTCCAATACCTTTATAAATAATTAAGTTTGAGCTCAAACTATCAATTTAAAGGGTTTTTATGGGATCCTAAATATTCCTTAATTATTTTTAAAAGATTATTAGTTTTAACCCTTTTATATATAATGTGAGATTAGGAGGAAATCCTTGCTCCTAATTATGATTGGTTGTTGTGATTGTGTGGTGAATTTTGGTAATGTCAAGGTGGATATTACATCATGACAGTTTTTTTAGCTGTCATGATAGCACCTCTGGACTAACTTTTAGAGTGCACCATTTCATCATCCAACCTCTTATCAGAGCAAGTCTAGAGCCCACATGTCTCATTCAAAGGATACTATAAGTGTATCAAATTTCAAAAAGATTCAATGGTTGGATCAAAATTCGTGCATGTCCTAACATCACACTATTACTGTCATGACAGCACCTCTAGACCAAATTTTAGAGTGTGCTATTTCTCTGTCCGGTGTCCAATTGATGTAATTCCAAAGCCCACACGAAGCTTATAAAAAGTTTTACTTGTGACCTAAATTTTAAAGAAATCCAACAATCGGATTAAGATTTGGATACCCAAATATAAAAGTGCAGTTTTTTGGTAAAAACTATTTTTAAAATTGTCCAAATCTCATCTTAATGGTCATAAACTTGTGAGAACATTTTGGACATGTCAAATAGGACTAAAAACAACTGATAGAACATTTAAATGATAGAAAAACCCTTTATACCAAAATTTAACCAACCGAGTGCCATTTCTCAAAATGGACCCTAAGTCTCCAAAATTCACAAATCACACGAGTGGTCAAAAACCATTCTAAATATCATACACACATATGAATACACATGCTAAATATTTTTACTTGGCTCAGAGATCTCCGTGGGGCCCACGCAGCCACTCTCTCTATCCAAGGTTAATGTTTGCCCATAACACACCATTTGCAATGCAATCACTTTGCATTTGCTTGTGGAATCACATATATACCAACATAAATATCTGCTTGTGGTAGAAACTTGGTTTACTAAATAAATCCATCAAAACCATGTACCATAACCAAGTTTCCTAACCATAAGCCTACAAACAAACAAAAATTCATACACAA